TGTTTTGGTTGGTGGTGTGGTGTGTATGTGGTGTGGTTTTGTTTTTTTTTTGGGTGGGTGGTGTCCAAAAGTTATGCTATGAAGATCAGGAGAAGGTCGGGACATTTTCTATATTTATGATGGAAAACATTGAACAATGACACTGAACTTGTGACAACATTCCATGATTGGTCATGGAGCAATCCCTAGAAGTGTGCGATTTGTTTCGTTTCCATTCGTTTTTTTTTGGACAAATTTAATTTTGGAAGAATCAGATGTATACAAATCTCCGAATGGACAGTACCGCAGAGCAACGAATCTGAAAAAAAGTTTTAACGAATTTAATACCTTGGCACCGGCGCCTCCTGGCCCTTTAAGGGTTTCAGAAGCCGGGAGGCGGGGCAGGGTTTAGGGTCATGTGACCACCGTGACACACCATCACGGCGGTCACATGATCGGGAAAGGTCCCGATCGAAAGAGGAGATCGGGACCTTTCCGTGAGTACTGCACACGTGTGTTGGGAGCATGCAGGGCGCGCGCTCTCAGCACATATGTTTTTTTTAATGCACATGCGCAGCCGCTCGGCGTCTAGGCCCAGAAGATGGGAGACCGCGCATTTTTTGCGTGCGGCCGGCGCCAAGAGGTTAACAAATGCATTCATTTTAGTTCGGAACGATATAACATGATGCTAAAAAGTAGTTTGGGCCCAGGTGCGGAAATGACCATTCGAGCACAATCGGGCACTGCCGAGGGCCCGGGGTCAGTAGGGGGCCCCATGAGTGCTCTTGGTACCTTTTTTTTTAGGCTTTTTTTGGCTGTGGTTTGAGTGTGGGCAAGGACACAGGGGCCCCATGATCCCCTATTGCCCGGGGGCCCCATGAGTTGTCAGTCCGCCCCTGTTTTGGGCCAATGGGGAAATTAATAAAATTTTCTATAAAAACGTGTTTCTTGTGAGCTACTATGGTGTATTTTATACTTTCTAAGGTGAATAAATAATAAAAATTAATTCAGAAATAACCATTGAAGGTTATGTGCAAAATTAAACATACAGGTGTATGTGATGTGAGAAATAGGGGAGGGGCTCTGACCTCACGACGCTTAACCTCCCTAGCGGTCTGATGACGTCAGTATTTTTTGTGCTCAAAGCGGTACATTTTTTGCATGGAATATATGTTGTTTTTTTTTATTGTCGGACTGTAATTTTTTAGGAATAACTCACTGAAATCTGTCTGAACAAGAGTCTAGTAAACATCCCGGGGAGGATAAAATTTGAAACACGAAATCAGAAATTATAATTTAATAATAAATAATCATAAAAAAAAATAATATAATAATAATAAATGTAATTCAATAATATAATCAAACCAAAAACACTGAAATGTGAAATAGAGCGCCAAGTTCGCACATCGCTGAGCTCAGTTCGCAGAATCGTTTTCAGTGTCTGATGAGGAATTTCCCCCACGAAATCATTATCACTCAATTCTGCAAGTGGTTCTGATTTACTATCGCTGTTCTCTAGCCGGTCTAAAACCGCGTCTGACCTAAAGGGACGCTTTTTGGACGCCATGGACGTTTTTTCAGTTTCCCAGGCAGAAAGAACAGTAAAAATGCAGGCAGGGCGCCGGACAAAGCACTCGGGACAAAATGTATGTGAAATGGTTGAGACAGCAATGTTTTACTATGTAAAAAAAAAAAAGACATTTTTTAAAATTTTTAAATTTTCCTGCCGCCAGCGGCGCCCGTACATCCCGACGTCACAGGGACAGGACACAGAAGCCGGATGCCGGCATCGGCCGGAGGAGATGACCGGGGACGCTGCAGGGGACACATTGCGGAAGCGCAGGGTAAGATAAGTGAAGAACAAATGCCGGAGCAGTGCCGCATGGTATTCCCGAGTGTAGCTCAGGGTTACCGTTTGTGGTACTGAAATGTTACCCCGAGCTACACTCGGGAATACCGCCAAGGAGGTTAAACATCCCGGGGATGATAAAATTTGAAAAACAAAATCATAAATTATAATTTAGTAAATAATCATTAAAACACAAAATCATAAATTTTAATATAATCATAAAAAATAATAATAATAAAATTAATTCAATAATATAATCAAGCCAAAAACACTGAAATGTGAAATAGAACGCTCACCTGATGTCTAGGACCAAACCGTTAAGTGAGGTCAAAAACAGCTTGTGTCCCTTTAAATGGATTTGGAAATGAATGGAGATTTGGCGCTCTAATTCACATTTCAGTGTTTTTGGTTTGATTATATTATTGAATTACATTTATTATTATTATATTATTATTTTTTTATGATTATTTATTATATTATAATTTATGATTTCGTATTTCAAATTTGATCCTACCCGGAATGTTTACTAGACTCTTGTTCGGACAGATTTCAGTGAGTTGTTCCTAAGAATTACAGGCCTACAATAAAAAAAAAATACATATTTCCATGCAAAAAAAGGTACCGCTTTGAGCACAGAAATACTGACATCATCAGACCGCTAGGGAGGCTACAGTGAAAAATGCGAACACTGTGTAAATGTAAAAAGTGCGTCACTCTGTGAATACAATAATCCAAGTGACCATACAGTGTACACTTCTATAGAGGAAGGCATATATACCCTTACCAAAAAACAAAAAAAAAAAATGCCTTATCAATATTGCAGAAATCAGCAGCACGTTTCCACAATTTTCCTCCAAGCCAGAAAAGTACTCTTTAAGATGTCATCCACTATTCAATCAGAAATTTCTCTTGGTGGGTTGGGCTGAAAATATAAAATCCGTCTGATTCGATAATATGTTGTATTGATAGCGATCTTCAGTAGGGATGGGTATGCGTTCCCGAAACGCCCGACCTGTGAACGCAGCCTTAGGGGTTCCATCATTGTTTATTGATAATTAGTTATGATATGTACTAAGGATTTAAACCAATTAAAAAAAAACAACCAAACATTCAAAGAGATATGTACTGAGAATTAAAGAAGAAAACAAAACATTCAAAGAGATATGTACTGAGAATTAAAAAAAAAAAAAATCAAAGAGATATGTACTAAGAATTAAAAAAAATAAAAAAAAACATTCAAAGATATATGTACTGAGAATTAAAAAAAAAAAAAAACATTCAAAGAGATACTGTATGTACTAAGAATTAAAAAAAACAAAGAGATATGTACTAAGAATTAAAAAAAATAAAAAAAAAAACATTCAAAGATATATGTACTGAGAATTAAAAAAAAAAACATTCAAAGAGATATGTACTAAGAATTAAAAAAAAACATTCAAAGAGATATGTACTGAGAATTAAAGAAGAAAACAAAACATTCAAAGAGATATGTACTGAGAATTAAAGAAGAAAACAAAACATTCAAAGAGATATGTACTGAGAATTAAAAAAAACATTCAAAAAGATATGTACTAAGAATTAAAAAAAAAATAAAAAAAAAACATTCAAAGAGATATGTACTAAGAATTAAAAAAAAATAAAAAAACATTCAAAGAGTTATGTGCTAAGAATTAAAAAAAAATAAAAAAACATTCAAAGAGATATGTACTAAGAATTAAAAAAAAATAAAAAAACATTCAAAGAGATATGTGCTAAGAATTAAAAAAAAATAAAAAAAAAACATTCAAAGAGATATGTACTGAGAATTAAAAAAAAAACATTCAAAGAGATATGTACTAAGAATTTAAAAAAAAAAACATTCAAAGAGATATGTACTAAGAATTAAAAAAAAATAAAAAAAAAAACATTCAAAGAGATATGTACTAAGAATAAAAAAAAAATAAAAAAAAAAACATTCAAAGAGAAGTTTAACACTTCAGAAGTTCTTCTATCTGCCTGAAGTTCCTTGAAATATAAAACCAGCGTGAGCCGGCCGCGCTCTTCCGTAGGAGGGAATCTTAATTGCCATTATCAGATATGGAACCGGAAATGAGTAGGATTAATATAGTGCCTCTCCCTTCGCTTTGTGTCTCCTCGGTATCTGTGGTAATTGGATTATGAAAGTGGCGGCTTTATTATTATTCTATAGGGTAGATATCGGGGAATTCCTTTCTGAAATCGCTGAAATGTGCGCAGAAGTAGTATTTAGCAAATCACAATAATTACTATCATTACGAGGGGAACTATTAACAGATATATATATTTATGTTACATTGTAACCAGATTCCTGTAACTCTTGTCGAAGGCGGTGGTGAGCCTACGCCGCTTGTTTTGCGCTCTCATTGTGGCGGGATCCTGCGGCAGGGTACAAATAATGTTCGAGGCTGGAAGAAAGATCACTTCGGATGAAGATAATGCTTCGTTTGGACTGACGGCTCTTTCAACGTAATAAGGAAGCAGTAACCATGGCAACCAAAGAGGTGTCCGCTATTTCAAAATCAGATCAGAATGAGTTCTAATTGGTCGTTAGAGGTAAATGCGCTACGTGGCTTACTTTTTCTGCTTTGTTAACCACTTCCAGTCCGGACGCTTTCACTCCCTTCCAGTCCGGACGCTTTCACCCCCTTCCAGTCCGGACACTTTCCCCCCCCCCTTCCAGTCCGGACACTTTCCCCCCCTTCCAGTCCAGACACTCCCCCCCCCTTCCAGTCTGGACACTTTCACCCCCTTTCAGTCCGGACACCTTTTCACCCCCTTCCAGTCCGGACACTTTCACCCCCTTCCAGTCCGGGACACTTTCACCCCCTTCCAGTTCGGACACTTTCCCCCCCTTCCATTCCGGACACTTTCCCCCCCTTCCAGTCCGGACACTTTCACCCCCTTCCAGTCCGGACACTTTCCCCCCCTTCCAGTAGTCGGACCCTTTCACCCCGTTCCAGTCCAGACACTTTCCCCCCCTTCCAGTCCGGACACTTTCACCCCCCTTCCAGTCCGGAAACTTTCACCCCCTTCCAATCCGGACACTTTCACCCCCTTCCAGTCCGGACACTTTCACTTTCCAGTCCGGACCTTTTTCCCCCTTCCAGTCCGGACACTTCCCCCCCCCCGCTTCCAGTCCGGACACTCCCCCCCCCCCCCCCCTTCCAGTCCGGACACTTTCACCCCCTTCCAGTCCGGACACTTTCCCCTCCTTCCAGTCCGGACACTTTCCCCCCCTTCCAGTCCGGACACTCACTTCCCCCCCTTCCAGTCCGGACACTTTCACCCCCTTCCAGTCCGGACACTTTCACCCCCTTCCAGTCCGGACACTTTCCCCCCCTTCCAGTCCGGACACTCCCCCCCGTTCCAGTCCGCACACTTTCAACCCTTCCAGTCCGGACACTTTAACCCCTTTCCAGTCCTGACACTTTCACCCCTTCCAGTCCGGACACTTTCCCCCCTTTCCAGTCCGGACACTTTCCCCCCCTTCCAGTCTAGACACTTTCACCCCCTTCCAGTCCGGACACTTTCCCCCCCTTCCAGTCCGGACACTCCCCCCCTTCCAGTCTGGACACTTTCACCCCCTTCCAGTCCGGACACTTTCACCCCCTTCCAGTCCGGACACTTCCCCCCCCCTTTCCAGTCCGACACTTTCACCCCTTCCAGTCCGGAACACTTTCACCCACCTTCCCCCTTCCAGTCCTGACACTTTCACCCCCTTCCAGTCCAGACACTTTCCCCCCTTCCAGTCCGGACACTTTCCCCCCCCCTTCCAGTCCGGACACTTTCACCCCCCGTTCCAGTCCGGACACTTTCCCCCCCTTCCAGTCAAGACACTTTCAACCCTTCCAGTCCGGACACTTTCACCCCCCTTCCAGTCCGGACACTTTTCCCCCCCTTCCATCCGGACACTCCCCCCCCCAGTCCGAACACTTTCCACCCCCACTTTCCCCCCTCCAGTCCGGACACTTTCCCCACCTTCCAGTCCTGACACTTTCACCACCTTCCAGTCCGGACACTTTCACCCCCTTCCAGTCCGGACACTTTCCCCCCTTCCAGTCCGGACACTCCCCCCCCTTCCAGTCCGGACTTTCCCCCCCCCCCTCCAGTCCGGACACTTTCCCCCCGTTCCAGTCCGGACACTTCCCCCCCTTCCAGTCCAGACACTTTCACCCCCTTCCAGTCTGGACACTTTCACCCCCTTTCCAGTCCGGACACTTTCACCCCCCCCCCAGTCCGGACACTTTCACCCCCTTCCAGTCCGGACACTTTCCCCCCCCAGTCCAGACCTTCCAGTCCGGACACCCCCCCTTCCCCCCCCCCCCCCCCTTCCAGTCCGGACACTTTCACCCCCCCCTTCCAGTCGGGACACTTTCACCCACCTTCCCGTCCTGACACTTTCACCCCCTTCCAGTCCGGACACTTTCCCCCCCTTCCAGTCCGGACACTCCCCCCCCCTTCCAGTCCGGACACTTTCACCCCGTTCCAGTCCGGACACTTCCCCCCCTTCCAGTCCAGACACTTTCACCCCCTTCCAGTCCGGACACTTTCCCCCCTTCCAGTCCGGACACCCCCCCCTTCCAGTCCGGACACTTTCACCAGTCCCCTTCCAGTCCGGTCCGGACACTTTCACCCACCTTCCAGTCCTGACACTTTCACCCCCTTCCAGTCCGGACACTTTCCCCGCCTTCCAGTCTGGACACTCCCCCCCCCCTTTCCAGTCCGGACACTTTCACCCCCCTTTTCCCATTCCAGTCCGGACACTTCCCCCCCCTTCCAGTCCAGGACACTTTCACCCCCTTCCAGTCCGGACACTTTCACCCCCTTCCAGTCCGAACACTTTCACCCCCTTCCAGTCCGGACACTTTCACCCACTTCCAGTCCTGACACTTTCACCCCCTTCCAGTCCGGACACTTTCCCCCCCCCTTCCAGTCCGGACACTTCCCCCCCCCCCCTTCCAGTCCGGACACTTTCACCCCCCCCTTCCAGTCCGGGACACTTTCACCCCCTTCCAGTCCAGACACTTTCACCCCCTTCCAGTCCGGACACTTTCCCCCCCTTCCAGTCCGGACACCCCCCCCCCCTTCCAGTCCGGACACTTTCACCCCCTTCCAGTCCGGACACTTTCCCCCCCTTCCAGTCCGGACACTCCCCCCCCCCCTTCCAGTCCGGACACTTTCACCCCCTTCCAGTCCGGACACTTCCCCCCCTTCCAGTCCAGACACTTTCACCCCCTTCCAGTCCGGACACTTTCACCCCCTTCCAGTCTGGACACTTTCACCCCCTTCCAGTCCGGACACTTTTCCCCCCACTTCCATTCCGGACACTTTCCCCCCCCTTCCAGTCCGAACACTTTCACCCCCTTCCAGTCCGGACACTTTCACCCCCTTCCAGTCCTGACACTTTCACCCCCTTCCAGTCCGGACACTTTCACCCCCTTCCAGTCCGGACACTTTCACCCCCCTTCCAGTCCGCACACTTTCCCCCCCTTCCAGTCCGGACACTCCCCCCCGTTCCAGTCCTGACACTTTCACCCCCCTTCCAGTCCGGACACTTTCACCCACCTTCCCACCTTCCAGTCCGGACACTTTCACCCCCTTCCAGTCCGGACACTTTCACCCCCTTCCAGTCCGGACACTTTCACCCCCTTCCAGTCCGCACACTTTCACCCACCTTCCAGTCCTGACACTTTCCCCCCCTTCCAGTCCAGACACTTTCCCCCCCTTCCAGTCCAGACCGACTTTCCCCCCCTTCCAGTCCGGACACTTTCACCCCCTTCCAGTCCAGACACTTTCCCCCCTTCCAGTCCGGACACTTTCACCCCCTTCCAGTCCAGACACTTCCCCCCCTTTCCAGTCCGGACACTTTCACCCCCTTCCAGTCCGCACACTTTCACCCACCTTCCAGTCCTGACACTTTCACCCCCTTCCAGTCCAGACACTTTCACCCCCTTCCAGTCCGGACACTTTCACCCCCTTCCAGTCCAGACACTTTCCCCCCCTTCCAGTCCGGACACTTTCACCCCCTTCCAGTCCAGACACTTTCCCCCCCCTTCCAGTCCGGACACTTTCACCCCCTTCCAGTCCAGA